GGGGTAATTTCTCGCTTTCTGTCTCTCTGTCTCTTTCTGTCTTTCTGGTGAGTGCATGTGCCCTATAGCAAAAACCTATCAAAAAAAAAAAAAATCCCTGACCTATTTTCATCAAACATAAGGCCATCTTTAGGTGTCTTGTTTTTTGGAGAGGTTTTTGTTATAGGGCACGTGGGCTCGCCAGAAAGACAGAGAGAGACAGAGAGACAGAAAGTGAGAAATCACCCCCCGGGGCAGCCATGCCGCAATCCTTTCTCCTCCATTCTCCTCTCGGGATCTTGGGCACACACGCACACGCGCCCAGCCTGAGTTAAGCCACCGGGGTCCCGGACTTGAACCATGGTCAACTACAGCGCAAATCCCTTTTCTTCTCCTGTGGGTCCCTTTTTTTTTTTTTTTTTTTTTTTTGAGAGAGAGATTTTACTATAAGGTACGTGAGCTCTCTGGAGAGACAGAGACAAAGGGAGAAATCATCCCCCTGGGGGATGGCCACACCACAATCCCTTCTCCTCCATTCTCATTTCGAGATTTGGAGCGCACACGCACACGGTGTGAGTTTCAAGCCACCAGGTCTGGGATTTGAACTGCGGTCAACTCTGTGGGAGTCCAACAACATAGCCATTACACCTTCTGCTGTCTCCATCTTTAAGTTTCTTCATTTCCTCACTTTTTAATAGAAATATCAGTGCTGAAAATCATTTCACTTTCCTCTTTTTAAATTTTTTTAAAAAGAATTATTTATTTTATTTTATTTATTACTGTTATTTTAAAATTTTCTATAGGGCATGTGTACTCACCAGACAGAGAGAGAAAGTGAGAAAGCAAGCCGCCAGGTCAGAGATTCAAATCATAGTCCGTGGTGTGAGAGTCCAGCCCTAACCACTATGCCGGGTGATGGCCCCTGATTTTAATTTTATTTTTGCTATAGGGCACATGCATTCACTGGACACAGAGTCGGAGAGAAAAAGAAGAAAAGTGAGAACACACGGGGGCGGGTGGGGTGGCCACACAGCAGTCCCTTCTCCAGTCTCTCTCAAGGCATGGCTCCCGTGTGCATGTGCTGCGTGTTTCTCAGGCCACCAGGTCTAGACTGCAGCTACACGGCCGGGGCCGGGCTACCTTAATCTCCGTGCCACCTGCTGGCCCCACTTCTTTATTATAACGCACTGCACGCTCCCACTGCAGCTCCTAACACTCATTGTCTGGGAGCAGTTCTGGGAAGGGAACTCTCGCCAGCAAGGGGCGCTGCTACCCCTCCCTGAGGGCGTGGCCACTGCGCAGCTCAGCAAGAACACAGAAGCCCAATGTAGCCAAATTCTGTTGTTTTTAATTTTTATTTTACTTCATTTTTGTATTTTGCCAGGGGGCATGTGTGCTCACAAGAGACAAAGAAAAGAGGACCTCTCAAATGGACCTGGTCACAGAGCAGTCCCTTCATGTCCCCAACCTGTAGGGATTTGAGGCAGGAACACATATATGCCCAGCATGTTTTTTTGTTTGTTGTTTGTTTGTTTTGTTTTTTAAAGAATCATTAACTTTATTTATTCATTTATTTATTCATTTTAATTTGACCAGAGAGAGATAGAATGAGAGAAAGAGAGAAAGTGAGAAAGCAAGCCTCCAGGCCTGGGACTCAAACTGAGGTCGGCCATGTA